ATCCCAAACCCTTTTCCCTCCCCATTCCCACCCCAAATCCCCCAATTCTCACCTCGAATCCCATTTTTATCCCAAAAAAAATCCCCCCAAAAAATCCCAAAAATGTGCCAAAAAATTCCCAAAAAATCCCCAAAACATTTCAGAAAAATCCCCAAAAAAATCTCCCAAATAAATAAAAAAACAACCAAAAATTCCCCAAAAAACCAAAATAATAATAAAAAAAAAATCCTTAAAAAATTCAAAAAAAAATCAAAAAATTCCCAAAAAATTCCCAAAAAATAAAAAAAATTTGCAAAAAAATCCAAAAAAAATCCCCCCAAAAATTAAAAAAAATCCCAGAAAATCTCCCAAATAAGTAAAGAAAGAAACCTAGAAAAATTCCCAAAAAAACCCCAAAAATCCCAAAAAATCCCCAAAAATTCCCCAAAAAAACCCCAAAAAATTCCCAAAAATTCCCAAAATTCCCAAAAAATTCCCAATTTTCCCCGGATCCTCACCCCAATGCGCCACGCTGGCCTCGGCCAACCCCTCGTGCTCCACCTGGCAGATCTTAATAACCCAAATCCCAAAAAAAATCACAAAAAATCACAAAAAATCCCCAAAAAATAAAAAAAAAAAATCCTTAAAAAAATTCTAAAAAAATCCAAAAAATCCCCAGAAAACCCAAAAAAATCCAAAAAAATTCCCAAAAAATTCCCCAAAAAATTTCAAAAAATAAAAAAAAATCTCCCAAATAAATTTTTAAAAAACAAAAAAAATTCCCCAAAAACCACAAAAAATCCCCAAAAAAATCCAAAAAAATCCCCAAAAAACCACAAAAAATCCCCAAAAAATCCCCAAATTCCCAAAAAATTCCCAATTTTCCCCGGATCCTCACCCCAATGCGCCACGCTGGGCTCGGCCAACCCCTCGTGCTCCACCTGGCAGATCTTAATAATCCAAATCCCAAAAAAAATCACAAAAAATCACAAAAAATCCCCAAAAAATCAAAAAAAAAAATCCTTAAAAAAATTCCCCAAAAAATCCCAAAAATCCCCAGAAAACCTAAAAAAAATCCAAAAAAATTCCCAAAAAATTTCAAAAAAAATCCCAAAAAATCTCCCAAATAAATTTAAAAAAAAAAAAAAAAAATTCCCCAAAAAACACAAAAAATCCCAAAAAAATCCCAAAAAATCCCCAAAAAAACCCAAAAAAATTCCCAAAAATTCCCAAAATTCCAAAAAAATTCCCAATTTTCCCCGGATCCTCACCCCAATGCGCCACGCTGGGCTCGGCCTACCCCTCGTGCTCCACCTGGCAGATCTTAATAACCCAAATCCTCAAAAAAATCCCAAAAAATCCTCAGAAAACCCAAAAAAAATTCCTAAAACAATTCAAAAAAAATCCCAAAAATCCCCAGGAAACCCAAAAAAATTCCCCAAAAAATTCCAAAAAAAAATCCCAAAAAATCTTACAAATAAATTTAAAAAAAACCAAAAAAAATCCCCAAAAAACCACAAAAAATCCCAAAAAAATCCCCAAAAATTCCCCAAAAAACCCCAAAAAAATTCCCAAAAATTCCCAAAATTCCCCAAAAATTCCCAATTTTCCCCGGATCCTCACCCCAATGCGCCACGCTGGGCTCGGCCAACCCCTCGTGCTCCACCTGGCAGTCGTAATAATCCCCGGGCTGGGGGATGAAGGGCAGGTAGGAGAATTTCCGGAAGGTGTTATCCCGATCCGGATAAAAGGGCATGTCCAACACCCCTTGGAATTCCGGGATCCCGTTCCGGAGCCAACGGAGCCGCAGCACCGGCGGCCAGAACTTGGAGACGCAGCAGATGAGGATGTTGGGATCGCCCAGTTCCACGGCGTGTTTCGGGAAGAGAGCCACTTCCGGAGGAACTGGGAATGGTTAATTGGGGATGGTTAATTGGGAATGGATAATTGGGAATGGTTAATTGGGGATGGTTTATTGGGAATGGTGGGAATGGTTTATTGGGAATGGTGGGAATGGTTAATTGGGAATGGTTAATTGGGGAGAATTGGGAATGGTGGGAAT